TCTGCCCGGCCCCGCGGGCGCCCCGGCGCGCCTGAGCCCCCAGAGGACGATTAACCTGCTCCCGGCACGGACGGGCTGGCTGCTCCCCACCTTCCCCCTCCTGCTCATCTAGAAACGATCGTTGCTTACCATTAGCCAGGGTTTGGTCTCTGCATACGAGTCGTATTTCTCTGCTGAGAGACTTAGGATCAGATAATCCATTTTCTGCCCGTTAAGTGGCTCTCGCAGCCGGTACCTGCTCTGCAGTCTCCCTGGGCTCACTGCTTTCTCCTCCTCGGTGTAGTTTAGGACTATTCGTGCTGAACTACCTGCCCACAAAGGGACTGAAATACCCGTGCTGCCACAGGCAGGCCGAGCTCCAGGCTTCCCAGGGCTGCTAGATTTACCTCCCAAACCCACTGATGCTCCTTAATGCAGAACTAGCGTTGTTATTAAGTATTTTTCTGAGGCAAGACTCCAAGATGCTCTGGCTGTTTTGCACCACAACAAGCGGCTATTTTGCAGGTCTGGTATCCTATAGCCAACTGCTTGCTTTTTGAAAGGCTCCTAAACCTGAAAGAGACAAAACTCTTACCATTAAACTAAATCAATCGATGGGATTTTAATAAAAAGGTTTTTGAATGAGAATAACCCTAAGGCAGGGGGGACACCTGCGACCACCTGCCAAAACAACAACAAAAACAGGGCTCAGAGCACAAGCGCAGGGTTCACAACCGGACGAATGTCCTAGCTCCCCACAGTGGAGGCAGGTCCTGCCCTTCGTGTTTGGCCAGCGGTGCTGAACCCTGGGCCGGGACTCCAGCATCCTCGCTCTGTGCGCAGGCAGGCTCCTCCGTATGCAGACCGATCCCCTTTCCTTTTTTTCTTTCCTTTTTTTTTCCCCTCTGGTTGAACTGCAATATTTCAGACTGCGAGCTGGGGTATCTGGGCCTTTGAGAGTGAAGATCTGTGATGGAAATGATGATACACCTCAAGTATAATGGTGCAAACAACCATTATCATAATTTTGTTACCAATTACATGTAATTTGAACAAAGGAGTTGTCCTCGCTTTGATTTGCTCTCCTTGTATTCCTAGCTGGTTTCATTAAAATCACTTATAGAGATTTGCAGCAGTTCTGTTTGAAGTGCTGTCATTAGGATTTTCATTTTCAATGGTGTTGAAACTAATTTCACAGCAGGCTGTTTATGTTTTACAAAGGACTCTGCGGCGTGTCGGACATCATTTCTGGTCAGACGTGTCCCAGACTTAACTGGTCACGAGCCGGTTGTGCTGCGTTACAGTGTGGGGTGAGGCGTGTGCTCCACATCAGGCCCCATGGAAGGACAGTGGGACGTGGACGGGGCAAGGCCAGCACCTGCCTCCGGATCCTTCACTGACCATCATGTCTGTGCTCTTCCTAGGCCGCCCTAGCCTATTTTAACCAACTTTGCACTGAATTTTGCAACTCTACTTGTTCTAAATTTGACACCCATGTCCCTAGTGAGCACACAGAGGGATCAACAAGGGCTCTGTGCCTGCATCCCCCGCATGCTCCTGAAAGCTGGAACTCCAAAGTGCCAATACTCCTTCTGTCTAGATTTCCCTCTGTTTCACAGCGTTTCTCCTCGGTGTTAAATACTTTTTACCTTTAAGCCTTTGCACTAAATCACCATTTAAAATCAATTGCCAAGATTTCTAACTTTATTAGCCCCTCAATAATACAAAAGTAAACATCCCTTACTAACAACTGCATTGAAGTTACTTACAGCAGAGAGCTACAGCGGATTTCCTTGGGCTGAAAGTTGCTTTGCCTCCTCTTCATTAGGCAAGCAAAGATGCAAGTTGCTTGACACGCTAATGAAGAAGGACGCTTAGGGACTCGCTCTGTAACTCAGTCACCACAAGCCACTCACCAATGATTCCTTTGTCACAGGGTGAGGATGACAGGGAGGTCGTGCAGAATGGGTCTTTTACGTTTGTCCATAATAAAAGAGGGTAACATGCTTTGCAAATGATAATCAGCATTTACTCCATTCGGGGCTAATTCCTAGGCACATTTGCACTCCAGCACTCAGCACTTGGGCAGATGCTAAATAAGGCACCAGCATGGTGTGTCCAGCTCCATTAAAGCTCTCCGGTAATTACAGAGCGCTCGTCGCGCAGCGGAAAGCTGGACGGCTTCCTGAGCCCGCAGGGTGCCTCTGCGCCGCGCTGCTCAAACCGCCAGCGCGTCGGGGCCGGAGGCGGCCCCTGGAGAGGCACCACCAGCCTCTGGGCAGAGGGTGCCCCGTCGCCACGGCCGGCAGGACCTGGGCGACAGAGCCACGATGCCTCCGGACACCCGGGGCGCAGGGCCCCGCCACCGCGCCAAGAGACGGGCCTCCACCTCCACCTCCACCTCCACCTCCGCGCGCCCAGCCCCTGTGCGACGCCTGGGCCCCGCTCTCCCCCGGAGGTTAAATGCTGGCAGCCGACCAGAAGGGGATCTGGGGAAGAGACCTTCAGCCCTGGAAAGCACTGCAATAAATCCCAGTTCATTTTGATTATAATGGTGCACTTGCGTCCCAGGGTGAGATTGCCGTGTAGGTTTGCAAAAATACTGCTTAAATAAACAGAAAGGGAGGAAATGCTGGAGAGAGTGTCCAATCTGCATTATAATTAGGGGAAAGAATAACAAATGGAGAAACAACCTGTTCCCAACTGCAGCTGCAGTTTGTTCCCACTGCATCTGAAAGGCCATGCACCATCCGTACCAGGAGCTTTCTCTGGAAATATATGAATGTTCCATCCAGGAAGAGTGAGGAAAAAAGAACATTTTTGTGTGCATTGCAGATTCTGCCATAATAAAGCATCAGAGAGCATTTTTTCAGCCAGACACTCACTGCTGTGCTGAATGCTGAAAATCTGGAAGTAAAAGCAGGGGGCTTGAGCCGCTGAAAGGGTCACTATGAAGAGAAACAACAGGGGGACAGCAGTTAAACTCAGGAGCACGGGTTCGCCTCGGTGCGGGACCAGATCTCAGCCCCCACGGACACGCGGGGGTTCAGAGCCCCACTCCGCACCTGGACGTCCCAAAGCCTAAGGCTTCAGCGCTCAGCAGATGCACTGGAGATACTCTGCAATCCCAGACTGACTAATTTACCCATAAACCTTCCTAATGAGACTGATAGCGCAGGAACGGAGAGAAAGCAGCATTATTATCTGTAAACAGCAGAGAGTGACAGCATGTTTAATCACAGACTGCGTAATGGTAACATCGGTGGAGGACAAGATTAGACACTTCTCCAATTAGTCATACATCAGAGGCATGAATGCGGCGCATGAGAGTCACTTAACCCACAAACGAGAGGAAGATCAAAGCTGGGGGTTGTCTCCAGCGAGGGGAAGGCGCCGGCGGCCGGGGCGGCTGCCCACGCCGTGCCCCACTGCGCGGCAAGGCTGCAGCGGGT